AGTGTGGGCTTATTTCTAGGCTTTCTATTCTGTTCCATTAATCTGTATGTCCGTTTTTGTGCCAGTTCCATACTGTGTTGATTACTGCAGCTTTGTAATATAACTTCACTTTGGGGTTGTGATACCTTCAGCTTTGCTGTTATTTCTCAAGATTGCTTTGGCTCTTCAGGGTCTTTGGTGGTTCTATAGAAATTTTAGGATTATTTGTTCTAGTTCTGTGACGCTCACACAACCAAATGGAAAGATACTCCATTCCCATGGGTTGGAATAACAAATATGGTTAAAGCGTCCATACTACTCAGAGCAATCTGCAGATTTGATGCAGTCCCCAACAAAATAGCAACGTTTTTCACAGAACTGGAACAAATAATCCTAACATTTTTTTAATGTTTTTTTTTTTTTAATTCTACTTTTGAGAGAAAGAGAGAGAGCGGTGTGCATGGCGGAGGGGCAGAGAGAGGGAGACCCAGAATCTGAAGCAGGCTCCAGGCTCTGAGCTGTCAGCACAGAGCCCGATGCGGGACTCAAACTCACAGACCGCGAGATCATGACCTGAGTTGAAGTCAGCCACTTAACCGACTGAGCCGCCCAGGTGCCCAAATAATCCTAAAATTTTAATGGAGATTTCCTTCTTTCTTCTCAGTCATTTCTTGCGATTTTTCTTCCTTCTTCAAAGTCTCTTCTTCCCTTTCCCTGCGTCCCTTTCTATCCTTCCTGTGAAGTGCACAGCCCTGCTTGATCCATAAGAAACTCATGGAAACTCGGTGTCCTTGGCCAGAGTAACATTTTTCTGTTCCTGATGCTTGTGAGGTTTGGCTTTGGGCTTTGCTATCAATAATATGACTTCTTTAGGAAGTACTACCTTCTTTTAAGATACACTAGCAGCTATGTTAATAATACTAAGGGGTTATTGATGTCCTGACCCTAAAGACATTCTGGTACACACAGAAGAAAGCATGTTGAAAATAATGCAAATGTTTTCCTTAAGCTTGTTGGCTTTTTGTAATCGAGAAGTTACTCCGTCGCTTCTAAATTCTTACCTAAAAATTCTTTCTATCCCTGGGGAATGTTTTCTTTCCTTCAGAAATGATTTATTGATTGCTGTGTGCACACTGTGAGTCACCGGTCAAAAAGGGAGAATTCAGTACATTCGGGTGTTGGGGTAGAGGGAAGACAGCCAGTGCTTTTGCATCCCTGTTTGTACAAACTCTGAAAATCGTGGTCTTGGTACGAATCCTTACGCTTGCCCTCTGAGGTGTGGAGGTCACCATCTTCATTTCGTACACGATGAGACCAAGGCTCAGAGGAACCAAGTGACTCACCCAAGGCCACATGGCTTGTGAAAGGCAAGAGTCAAGGACCAAACCGAGTGCCCTAGACCCCACCTTCATACTGTGCCTCCACGTGAGGAGTATAGAAGGTTCTGGAAAAGCTTCATGAGAGAGGCTCATATTTGACTGAAGGGATCTAGGGAAGATGGGCTTATTGTTTTTTTGGTTTTTTTTTAACAGTTTATTGGGGTTATTTGTGGTTTCCTCTAAAGCAGGATCCCTCCGAAGTTTGGAAACAAACATCCTATTACTGTGTCTAATTCATAGCTCTTCACTATAGATGGCTTGTAGGCAGGGTCTCCTTTTCCCGTTTTGACTAACCCTTTCTTTTAGGTGCTTTTTTTGTGTATGATCATTAGCTGATCAAACGTCATTTGTGTCAGTATATGAAGGGTCGTGATGAAATGCCTTTTGAAAATCACGAATGGGAGACACTCTGCATCCCAGTGCATTATAAAGTCCTTGTCCTACGGATCAGGACGGCTGAGAGAAGTCACCCTGGAAGCTAGGATCTTAGTTCGTGACCAAGATACTGTAATCAGAGGCAGCACTCTGAGCTGGAGCCCCAAGTTCAAATCCTGACTCCCCCACTGGTTGTCAAACCAAATTAATGTGAGTACAGCCCTTAAAACAGTGCCTGATGCATATAGTAAGTGCCAGATAAGTATCCCCAAGTCTGCATGAATGGAAAGAAGAGAACATTCGTGCTGGCTTTGGGGTTTTTAGGAAACCGGTTAAGGAAAGATTGGCGCTGGTTTATGGAGTTCCTTTGAAATGGTTTATCACGTTCAAGATCATAAAGGAGTCATCCTCCCTGTTTGTTGAGGTAGGAAAAGAACTGAACAATGGGGTCTCAGAGGGGGTCAACACAGATGTCCACAGTCCAGGTTTAGCCAAACAAGCAGTGTCAGTCCCTTTAAACCAGGAGCCCCAGGGCCAGTCCACAAGAGCGAGGAGGCAGACGCTGGTTGTAAGCTAATGCCCAGCACCACCAGGGGAGGGCCTTCCTGGTCCCTGGTGCCAGGCAGGACCTGCTTCTCCCCTGAAGAACTCCTCCTGTGGCAGTCAGCCAGCTCACCTCTTCCCCAAACCAATTCCCCTCATCCCAGAAATTGGCACTGCTTCAAAATGCAGCTGCCTGACTGGGATGCAGCTGACAAAATATAGCTCCTGGATCTTCTGTAAACCTTACGATCCTGGAACTAAAATCACCTTTAAAAAAAAAAACAAAAAAACACTTTTCTTTCTTTAAATAAAAATGGAAACTAGTATATGTAAGCTTGGAAAAAGGAAGGAAGGAAGGAAGGAAGGAAGGAAGGAAGGAAGGAAGGAAGGAAGGAAGGAAGGAAGGAAGAAGGAAGGAAGGAAGGGAGGGAGAGAGAAGGAAGGAAGGGAGGGAGAAGGGAGGAGGGAGGGAGGGAGGGAGAGAGGGAGGGAAGAAGGAAGGAAGGAGGGAGGAAGGAAGGGACTTTTAAAATGTAGTATAAAGGATTTTAAACTGAATGTGGAAGTCTCCCTCCCTCCCTACTTCTGTTTCCCAGATTTAACCAGAGTTAATAGTTTTCTTTACGTCTTTGGAGAAGTTTCGTCCACCGTATGTGAATATGTGTTAGCCTTTTAAAAATTGACATGTGACTTTTTCCTCCATGTGTTTACCTTTTTAACTTAATACATTAATGATCTTTCTGTTGCGTCAGTGTAGATCTGCCTCTTTATTTACTTTTTATTTACTTTATTAGAAGGAATTATAAAGCTATTTCAGTGAGATAGGGAAATTCTGAACTCTTACCCATCCCAACAACATCGCTAAAATTAAATGCACACCAAACTTGGCATAGTCACAAGGAGAAACGGAACAGGTGACAGTTACAGTGGAGACTTAACCAAGTCTCTGAAAGTGACACGGATCAGCAGGCCAAAAGCAAGGAGTCATGAATGGCACCAGAGATTCGAATCACACCTTGGCCACGTTTGGTGGCAATGCGCGGAGCTCCCTCTTGCACAGTTGGAGAATGCACATTCTTTCCAAGCTCACACGGGAGACTGAGAAAAACTGGCATCTGTTCGGCTGTAAAGGAAATCTTGGTACTGCTAATTTCTTGTAGATGGAGCTTCTGAAACGGTTTTCTCTCTTGCCTCTCTTTCTCTCCCGAGTCTGTTTCTTCCCATTCCTGCGTCACGCCTGCCTATTTTATGGCCCTCTAGCCCGAATTCCTCTCTGCGTTTGGTCCTCCTTCTTAGCTGCAGTCACTTTGTGGAGATTCTTTTGCCTGCTTTTAAATTCATCACGGGCACAGAATGTCGGGTATAGTTTTTGTCTGCTCCTGGCAAGGATTTTCAGGTGCATTTTCGCCATCCCTGGGGAAGCTGGCTCCTGTTTTCTCGTATTGTTTTCCTTACGCATAGTATTGAGTGTGTTCCTCAGGACGAACGTGGTACAGGAATTCTGTCGTTCACCCACTGTGCCTTTCTCAGTAACGCTTCACAACATGTGATACGGATGGTGTGCGCCTATCATCTGCTGGATCGCTTGTCTGACTCCCCTGTTGGGAGGGAAAGATTCGTGTCTCTTTGGCTCACGGCCTGCCCCGGTAACGAAATCGGTGCCTTACACATAGTACTCAATAAATATTTGTTGAATGAATTAGCACAGAGGGGCTCAGAAAACCAAACCTAACAAAAACAACCAAAACCAGATCCAGAATGGCATCAGTTATTTCAAATCCTGTTCATTAAAGTATTAATACATTATGACAGGAAGTGGGAAAACCAGGAATGTGAAGGAGGGTTCCCACTTACTGGACAACTCTCTGTCCAAATCATCATCTCCATACTGAATCCTGTGTGCCTGGGGTAGGACGGAGTGAAACACACTTAATATTTAAGACATCGAGGGGTGCCCAGGTGGCTCAGTTGGCTAAGCGTTCAACTTCGGCTCAGGTCCTATCTCGCAGTTTGTGAGTTCAAGCCCCACATCCAGCTCTGTACTGACAGCTCACAGTGTGGAGCCTGCTTCAGATTCTGTGTCTCCCTTTTCTCTCTGCCCTGCCCCTGCACGCACTCTGTCTCTCTCTCAAAAATAAACGAACGTCAAAAAATTTTTAAAAAGACATTGAGCCCGTGCCCTTTTTCACACTATGAGTAGGATATAAAGTACCTCTTCCCCTGTATGGGGCATGGGGGAGCGGGGTTTGGCCAAATGCACAGGCCAGTTGATCTGTAAGAATTTTTCCGGTACAAGTGCTCACACAGTCTGCAAGGCCACGCATACGGTAAGAATAACTTTAAGTAGCAGTTGGTTTGGGACTAGCTTTCAAAGCGTGTGCACACAATAGGGGCACACGTGATGACCCATTGAGAGAGGACAGAAAAGCCACAACTGTTTCTCATCTGAATAAGAGAAATTAAGCCTTACTAATATTTAATATTAGAATAACGCTGTATCATCTCCCAGTCAGCAACATTGGGGCAGACAGCCACTTAGACTCTGAATTGCCACAGCGCCCTGAGGGAAGCGGGCCAGAGGTCCGCCTCACTTGTTGATTTGCTTCTAACATACCATTTGCGGTTTCACGCACCTGGTTGCGTGTATTTCTAGATCGTACTCTCTTGTGTCAGTAAATGCATGAACCGCCACGGCCGTTTCAGACGTGACCCTCACTCTTGCAGGGACGCCCTGGCGGAAGGAGCAGACCGCGGACTTGCAGCGGGTGCTGGCCCGCCTGGACAGCGACATCCCGCTGGTGCTCGTCAGTGGCAACCACGACTTGGGCAACGCCCCCACGCCCGAGACCGTGGCAGAGTTCCAGCGGACCTGGGGGGACGACTACTTCAGCTTCTGGGTTGGGGGTGTCCTGTGCCTCGTGCTCAACTCCCAGTTCTGGTACGATGCCTCCCGGTGCCCCGCCTTGAAGCAGGCGCAGGACCAGTGGCTGGACCAGCAGCTGAGCGTCGCGGGCCGGCGCGAGTGCCAGCACGCCATCGTCTTCCAGCACATCCCACTCTTCCTCCAGAGCATCGACGAGGACGACGACTACTTCAACCTCACCAAGTCTGTGCGCAGGGAGGTGGCTGACAAGCTCATCCGAGCAGGTAGCGCCCTGGACCCCGGGGGCTGGTGGGGAGGGCCATCTAGAGAGGAGGCTTCCAGATCCTTCTTCTGCCTCACCCCCACCCCCACCCCCCGCAGCCTGGCAAAGCAGAGAGAGGATGGGGCTTTGGACAGAACTGGGTTCTGACCCCAGCTCCACCGCTCGCTGGCCTTATGGCCTTGGACAAGCTGCCTGGCCTTCCAGCCTTGGTGTCCTCATCTGTCAAGTGGGAGTAGCAGAAGGAGGTCTCTCATAGGGTGGGTGTGAGGATTAAAGGAGAAGGGGCCTGTAAAGCATTCCAGTAGCCCCTGGCCTACCAAGTAGTGAGGTCGTGGCAGCTGCTGGCAGCTGAGGTTGGGGGTCCTGCAGGTGTGGGGTTATTGGGATTGGACGGGATCTGAGTGTGGCTGTACTGACCCAGGGAGAAGGGATGATGCCAGCGTCATCTTTTCTCATACCTCTGTGAAGCACAAACTTGCCCAACGGCAGGTGATCTTCAAGAGCCAGGCTTTACCAGTGTTGGATGTAACCCCGGGGAGTCCTGGGACGTGGGTGTCCTGGAGCCTCATCACTTTTCCTAGAACAGGGACTAAACTCTCCCCCAGATCGAGGAGACAGGAATGTATTTAGTCAGATTTAACCTGCTATAAATGTTTGGCGAATCACATATTTAACACATGCGTGTGCACACACACACACACCGTGAAGCCCTCGGATGGCCTACTGGTCCGCACACTTCCTTCTCTCCTCCCCGCAGCACCTGTAGTGTTTCTGTCCTGTGAAATGGGTCGTCCCAAGCCGATTCCCTGCATGACCAGTGACTTGGCAGGATTCCGGTTTTGACAACTGTTGGGTCTCTTGTTTTGGTTTTAATGCCTCCTTTCAGATCTTTCCAGAGTGTACTTCGTCAAATGCTTCTAAAATTTGAATACATCACTTGTTTGTTAGGAGGTAGGGAGAGGGAGGTGGCGGCCTGACCCCATAGCAAACGTTCATTTAAAAAAACAAAATATCTTATACTCTTCTTTTCATCTTCGAGCATTTAAATGTGTTCGCATTTACTTGTTAAATGTACAATAGGCCCTTCTGTATTTTTGAGACATTTTACAAAAGGCTTGCATAATTGGAGACATTATCCAACTGTTCCATGGAGGTGAAGTTGGAAAACTTCTATTGAGACCTTTGAAATTTCATGCCATGCTTGAGTTGGTGCAGAAAACCATTTTGATGACAAGGAAATGAAGTGTCAAGATGGCATCAGCACCACCGTGGAGACTATTTTGTAACAGAGAATAATGTCAGAGAGAACATTTAATGCCAGAGAAGTGATTCCTTTCATATCAAATGTTAAATGATGTAAATGCCATCCCCGTGGCCGCTCTTTGTTCCCTGTCAACCACGTTCTTGAGCGGCGTGTGCATGTGTGGCCCACCGGCACCCCCCGATGTTGAGACCTGTAGGCATTTATAAAGAGAGAGCCCACGGCTCTAACCAGGCAGCCTCCGGGGAGGCCTCCTGCCCACCCACCAGGAGCCCCGGAAGGCGGCGGGGTACTTGGGATGCGCCAGCCACCTCCCCCTCGGGCCTGCGGCCCCGCAAGCTCTCAGCACACCCCCAGCTGGTCTGGGTCTTGGAGGTGGGCTCCGCTTGCCCCGGCTCACAGGGGTGGGGGGGTCTACCACCAGAATGCCCTTCGATTGATGCAAAGCCCGGCTGAAACCCTCCCCTCCGCCCCGACGGCACAGTCTCTTCCCGAGGGCAAAACGACATGGGAAGCCACGTTCCAGTCAGGAGCTCGCTTGCTAAGCGTGAGACTGAGCAGAGGAACTAGTCTTACTCCAGCCTTAATGGCGTCAGGCTCTGGAACGCTGCCGGGTCCATCTCCGGTAGGGCCACCCGGCCCAGAAGACTCCGGTATTTCCAGTGCCTGAACATCTGTCTAGACTGTCCACCCCTTGAGGCCACCATCTGGGCCGTAGTGGCAGCTCTCCAGCCCCCCACCCTTCTGGCCCCCCTCAGCCCCGGGGCAAAGCCAGCTCCCCACTCTTCCCCGTTGTCTCTGACTCTCCCGTTTCACCTGGCCAGCTACTCCCCTTCAGCACCTTCTGCGTGAGGTGCCCCCAGCCCTGCCCTGGGTTCTTCCTCAGCTCTCCTTGATCCCAGCAGACTCGTTTGTGTTGACTTATCTTAGTCACCCGCTAGACTCGGTTCCTTGAGTGTGGGGGTGCTCTTGTGCTCATCTCTGCATTCAGGACGCCTGGCTCAGGTCAGTTCCTAGTCAGTGCCTCATCTGTGTTTGTAGAGTGAACGAGGGACTGACACAGCCCATTTATTTGGTTAGCACCCACTGTATGCTGGCCACAGAGACCAGGGCCGTGCTGTCGTGGAGCTCCTGGGCACAGAGATTTTCAAGGTGCGTTCCAAGGATCGAGCATACGTCCAAGCCTTTCGTTTCTGCGTGAAGTCCTCCCTTGATGCTGGCTTTCCAGGTTCATAGACCAGCCAATTTCTCTCTTCCCACGTGGCCCCCCACTGTTCACACCAGGCACCTTCACGTATGAGACGGAGTCCTGTTGGCCACTGGCGTTAGGAACTTCACCTAAGCCTGCTTAACCAGGGAAAAGCAGAGAGACAGGTGTCCTTCCTGCTGTCACCTGTCAGTTTTAGTGGCTTACCAAGCCTGGCCCTTTGCTTTGTGGCCTTCCACACACACAGCAAACCAAGGGCAATGTCAAGAAGAGATCCAGGCCGGGTGTGGACCCAGCTCGGTGGCAGGCTGAGTGATCTGCTTAGGGTGAAGGCATGAGTAGGTTGGCTCTCCTAGGGAATGTTGTGCACCCGTGACTCACGATCCCAGAGATCGCTCAGCTCACAGCAGTGTAATTCTTGGACTCCTTTGGGAAAGCCAGAGTTCAAGTGACATTTCGTAAGATTCATTAACTTCAAGACCGTGATCAAATTGGGGGTGATGCTGCTGTTTAATGCTGCCTCCAGCTTTTCCCCCACAGCAATATTATTCCCTCGTGCTATTCCAGTCTCCTTTATCTCCCTGAGTTAAAATGCCGGTACTCAAAAATATGTCAAAAGCTCATCAGAATATCAGGGTAGCTTTTAATTATGATAATTGTGTTGTTATAAAATATCCTTTTAAAGAGCACATCCCTCCTCAAACCACCATGGAGGTAAAACCCAGCTTCCTTCCAGCAAGCTTAATGAATAATTCTGAATCATTGTGTGGGATGAATAAATGATTTAATAACGAACATCAACAATCATCTCTCATTGTTGCATTAATTTTTCAAACGGGATGAGGTAAATGAGGAGGAGGGGTGTTACTATACAATGGGCCACCGTGTGTGTTGGGATGCGTTCTATGAATCCAAGCCTGCGAGCCTCCCCGCTCAGGTTTCCCTAGAAACGGATGCATTCTGTTTCTCCTTTTGAAGCTCAGTGAAAAACCTTCTTTGTGTGGTACAAAAGCGTCGTCAACAGCCAGCGCAAATAAACAGTTATCAGGGCAGGACAGACGCACAGATGGGGAGCTGCACCCGTTATTTTCGGTCTTCCTTTGTACTGCCTGAGGATAATCAATTTCATCACATCCATGGGATGTAGAAATTGGTTTTCCCCTTAATTCACCTGATACCTAGTTGAGTTGCAAAGACAGATAGTAGATAATGAAATCGTGGTTGAACGCAGCCACTGTCTCTGTCCCTCATGCCTTTTTCAGCAAAAGGTTAATTTGTGACCTAGTTAATACGGATTCCAATTTAAGAACTCAATCTTAAAAAACAAAAGTCTGGCTCTTTTAACTGACCTCATCTCCCTTGATGTCTCGATACCTTTTTTTTTTTTTTTTTCCATTCTCAACATAGAGATGAGAACTGTGTAGTAGGGAGCCCAGAGCGAATTTGGCAATTACGAAACATTCCAATAAGTTGATCTTTCCTGCAAAAGTTAATGAGTAATTTCACAGAAATAGTTTCATCTCCAGTATTTATTCCTTTAAAAAAAAAAAACTGGAGAAAGAGATCTTAGCCCATAATTATCATTTGAAAATTTCAAAGTTTGAAAGAACAAAATGGTTGGGTTTCCAGGGTCCACTTTGTAGGAAAAATAAAACGTCTGATTCTACTCTGATGTCCTTCTGAGTTGTATTGAAATTATTTGTTTATGTCCTGATTCCTCCAAAAATGGAATCCCAGCTTTATTCACCTCTGTAAGCCCAGCCTCTGGCCAAAACTGTCATGTGGTTGCCCTGTCAATAAACAAATATTGGCTAAGTAGAATGGAATTAGATTTGATTCACATACTTATCAGCAGAATCATAGATAATGTCGATACTACCTGTGGATCAGTGTTGGCGAACTGAGCTTTGGATGGGAAATGTATCACGTAAAGCGGGGTCTCGGTGAACTTTTTCTGCCAAGGGGCACACAGTAAACACTTTGGGCTGTGGTCTCCGTGGCAACCGCAGAGCTCTGCCTTTGTAGCACGGAAGCAGTAACAGACATACATAAGCAAATGAGCGTGGCCGTGTTCCAGCACAACTCTACTTACAAAAGCCAGGTGTGAGCTGGCGGGTCGTACTTTTCCCCGCCGTTGGCTCAGAGAAATATTCCTGCCCTGCCCTCAGACCATGTCCACACCGTGCGTGCGTCTAATTCCAGCATGCTTCTGGTGACCCCACCGCGGCAGCTGCCTGACCCGCTGAAGGGTCCGCCCAGAGCGAGCCTCAGGTTCCTCCATGGAGGACACACCCGGGTGAGGCATGCCCCGTTGGAGGTCCCTGTGGGAGGTGACGTGGGGGCACTTAAGTACAACGCTTGGGTGTTTATTTTAACATGTGTTTGAAAAAATACATAAGTAGCTCTTCAAGGTAAAAATCGTCAGTAGTAGCACCAGTAGCATGCGGGTAGGGCCGAACTCGTGGAGGTGGTGTAGGGAGAGCAGGTGCGCACCAGCGGGAGCGATGGGGCCATATCACAGCACAGGGCGGCA